CATCAGCGTTTACACATAAAAAATTCCCCCTGTAGTGATGGTATAGATATATAAATCTGGTTCCAGTGGAAGTGGTCCAGAATCCCCATTACCTATACTACTATTTTATCAACCGCATAAACATCAGACGCTCTTGTACTGCACCCTGTATAAACGTCAATGACTCTTTGTATGTCAGTCTTATCAATTGTGGAAAAAACAACCATTCATGTGTATATAACCCCATATCTCACCTTCCTGGCGTGTACAAGGGCGGTGGGGTAGCCTAGTGGTTAAAAGCGTTCGCTCCTCACGCCGAAGACCCGAAGGCATGGGTACAATGTGTTAAGCTCATTTCTGGTGTCCCTCGCCGTGATATTGCTGGAATATTGCTAAAAGCGGCGTAAATTCATACTCATTCACTCACTCCTGACATGGACATCACTTGCATGGTGATGTTGTTAGAATCTACACTGAAACGTCGCATCAGATCAGTTGTGATAAGGAAGATGTTTATCGATAAAGAATTGCCGTTGCTCATATTCAATGTGGTTCTAGATACGTTATTTTCTTAACCCGAATAACACTCTAAACGTGACAGTTAGACGTCTGGGACTGCAAACTGGAGCAGAAAAGGGTTAAATCGGGATGTTGTGGAAGCATACGTACATAATGCTTTACTATGGTATGTTTTAAAACAACATTTTAACTTAAACTATATCACGGCGTGTCAGCTTGTTGTTTGAACAAAACCCCAAACACACACACACACACACACACACACACACACACACACACACACACACACACACACACACACACACCACTATACATGCCGAACACTACAGCATCTGTGTAAATTAGTACAGGACATATTATGTCAGTATTAGTGCCAGATCTTTGGCATACACAATCCATTAATGTCTATAGAATAATACATTAGTCAGTAAAAGAATCGTACATAATCCCAACGTAATGTCAATTAACTTGGCTAACTAGTCTTTGCTACCAAACATCGAATGATAATATAACATAAATAATCTACAGAATACTCATAATCATTCGGGAAAGCAAACCAATGTAAACTAAAAGACAAAATACCTCTGTGAACAACTGTTACTATCATACAACCAAGACCACATAGACCATTTGTATTAACTTCCATGTCAGTTAGCTAAATGAGACTGACAGTAAACTTAATTGTTTTAGAAAAGACGGCAGAGAAAAAAAAAATTGAAAAAAAATATGATTGGTATATTAAAGATGACATACATGCCAACAGCTGGGGTTTGATAAAGGTTTGCTTGGGCAACTTAAATGTACAATGCTTTTGGCAGAACATTTAAAACGAGAGTCATCAGAAGATGACAAATCCCCCTGGGATTTCAACTGAAAAAGAACAAATCATCTGATTGTTACTTTAAGTCCAGCTTAATGAGAGAAACTGTCTGTCTGTATACAGGAGTAGTTATTGAAGTATCAAAACAATACCAAGGAAGTGGGATTCGGAACTTTGTATTTGTATGTCAGGTACACATCACTATGAACAGAGTCAAAATCATACTTGTTGCCATGAAAACAGAAAAAATATAAATTCATAACATCCCTAAATAGCAAAAGGCACCAGTTGACAACCTGATTTTTGTGTGTGCAAAGTTACAGGAAAGAGTACCTGTAGTGTTAGAGATATTGTCCGGACAATCACACCACTATGAACAGGTGTCAAATTCAAACTTGAATGTAAACATGAAAAATATAATTTTAAAAACAATTCTAAATAGCAAAAAGCACAACTTCAGCCCTTGATTAATAGACGTACAAAGTTTGGATGAAAAATGTTGAGTGGTTGGTTGAGTAGTTGAGTGGTTTGTTGGTTGAGTGGTTAGTTTGTTGCGTGGGTGGTTGAGTGTAGGTTGGTTATGTGGGTGGTTGGTTGATGGGTGGTTGGTTGAGTGGGTGGTTGGCTGAGTAAGATGTTGAGTGGATGGTCGAGTGGTTTAGAATGTGGTTGAGATGGTGGTTGGTCGAGTGAGTGGATTTAGCAATATTCCAACAATACCATGGCATTGGACACCAGAAATTGGCATATATATTGTGCCTGTGTGGGGAATTGAGCCCGAGCCGTTGGTGTGATGGGCGAATGAATTAACCACTGGCCTACCTCACTATCCTACTGTCAGTATTGATCTTCAAATATTTCTGAATATTGCTTAGTATGGAAGCACTAAATATATAATATCAAGTGTCAAATTTCATCCATATGTCTTCATCTCCAACAATGAATGTCATATGAAATATTGTGTAACATTGCTCTTCTCATATATTTCTCATGCCCTACAATTTTTTCCAATTTTTTTAAATAAACAGATTAACTTTCCATGTCTTCCATAAAAAAAAATCACAATATGGTTACAAATATCAACATAAAGCATCAGAATATTCAAGTCATCAGTGGATGACATGTCACCCTCCTCCCCCGGTGCCAAATTGTTTTCTAAGATGAACACAGGAAGGGAGTCTTAAAGACCAAAAGGAACATCGGGTTTTTTTAAGAATACTTTGAATAGCATTTGCTTGCCCTAAAAATAATATATTAAAACAAAACTCATTTGACGTGATTTTGGTACATAATATACGCTCATAGCAATGACTAAATCCAAGATCTTATACATGAATATAGAAATAGTTATGAAAGTATTAATAACTAGTAAATGTTCTTACTCATAACAACAGATGTCTCCCCAACCCCTTTTTTTTGATACATTAGTTGTCATTATTAATGTGTTTGCAAATCTAAAAAAAACAATAGCATAAAAATACTTGTATAGATTCTGATTAATGCATCAATGAAGCAGCATTAAAGTTGATGCAATGTTGACTCTTTATGGCAGATAAGACTAATGACCTTGAAACAGCAGTTTGTATGGTTGACTGTATTCTGCAAGTAGATGTACCTATAATGAATAATCAATGGTATTATGCTTAATAGAAAGTCTCTTAAGAATTTCAAAAAATGTTTCCATGGAAACACAAGAAATTTAAAAAACATATAAATCCAATATTGTTTTGCAACGTTTCAAAGCATCACAATCGGAAGTCAACTTCAGTGCCATAAACAATAAGGCAAAAATGTTTTTTTCGGAAACTCAACTTGATGCTGGCCACCATTTTAGATAGAAGCGTCATAAAATCAACTGGATTTCAAACAACAACTGGAATGGCTGATTCAGCTTTGACAATGCACCTCCTATCTTACACCCTTGACAAATTCTGAAATATACTGGCTTACTATGAAGCTCACCTGGCCACCGATTGTTTCGACGCGCCTAGGAAGCCGTCCATTTTTGCTGAAATGGGAGAGAGAGAGAGTGAATGTAATTTTTCAGTCTAGACGGGGTTGTGCATGGTCCCAGGGATCAGGAGGGGCCTCAGCACCAGCACTTAAGACTCTTCTGTTACTAAAATTACTGGGGTTGGTTGGAGACCTGTGAACTATTCTCAAAATCACAATATATAAGTTTCAAAATATTATTGCAATGTAATCACTTATGATAGTAATAGTTTGTGAAGTTAGTGTGCACTGATCACCATAGCGTTGAATTATCTTTGCAATCTTCGCAGGCGGATAAACTTTGTTTCATCAGGCGCTCTATTATGGTTGACCCAAAGTGAAATCACAACTTAGATGGACAAATAACACCTTTCAAGTACTTCAAGTTACTTGAGACTCCAAAATAAGGTAGTTCCACTGCACCGATTAATACCAACACATTTGTTTTTCTTTCAGATGAAGATGTCAGATCATGATCAGTGCAGTTTCTGTATTGCTAGAGAAGAAACTATTTTACATTTTTCTGGGAATGCCATGTTGTTGAGACTTTTCAATTGGTCTTACGTCTTAGGTAACAGACAACTACTCACATGTGGTCATATCCATGTGCTCAGCTTCTATTATTTGGAATAAGAGAAAATATCATTATTGCTCATGTATTTCAGTTTTGTTTTTTTTGTCATATTTTTAATTTATAAGTGTAAATTGAATTTGAACAAGAATATCCAAACAGATGTTATAAAAACAGGGCATCATATCATTCGTTGTTTGAAGATACAAGTTGTGTCACTTAAATACCTAGAATTGTATGTGTTATTATTTACTTCAGTTTTGTTATATATTCTCAAGCAGTACTGAATGAATGAAAGTGTTGTGTGGATGTGTGGATGAAAGTGGGAAAAAGGTCAGAATCTCTGTTCATAGGGTTGTTTTTTATCCAGAAAGAGGATTGAACATTCCTGGGTAGTCTTTCAGAATAAATAAGAATAAATTGAGAAAGGAATCCAGCTCAAGTCTTGAATGATTTGGCAAGTCCTTATTGCCTCAGCCCTGGGCCTGATTAAAAACATTGTTCTAGGCGCCATCGTTTTATTCATACATTTATATTTTAAGTATGATAACCTTTTTTCTGGGATAACATGTTAATCTACTCCCTGGAATCTAATCAGGGATTCTGAAATAAATATTTATTGTTGAAAAAATATCTTGCAGTTGACATACTTTTGCCATAGACAGAGAATGCTTAGCTCTGCAAATGGAAAATAGAGAAAGATGTATTGTATAAGTATTGAGCTGCGTAACAAGAGGTTTTTACCGTGTTGGGTATGGATTGCTGTGAACGTTATAGCAAAGACATGGCATAGTTTCGATCAGGGCTACTGTGCATCACTGAATGTTTCGGAGATACGCGAATTACAGTGTTCACCCAATTCGCCTGGACATACAACACAATCTTCAAAGACATATAAACAACATGTTATATACCTGATTTGCAGATTGTGAGTGAAACATTGTATCTTGACCTGTGTTTTATTGTGTTCAGTCTTTACAAATCCAAGGCACCTCAGTAACCCTCACTCCCGTCCTTTGAAGGACATTGTAGCGTTGTCCCCCATGCAAGCAAGATAAATCAATAGTGTCCTCTTACGACTGTGGTGATAGTGACACATCGTACCCCAGGTTGTAATACCCTAGGTTAGCTGTAATCAGAGAATTGTGGTTGATTTATTGCCGCTCTAGAATAAGGGTGTGCCCTATGCAAACAAGACAAATCAATAGTGGCCTATATACGTGAGTAATCGATGTACGATCTGCAAACTAAAGTGATAACCCACTTTGGGATGGATTTGTACCATTTCACAAATTGCTGTATTAATTTCTTTACTTTATTGCAAGTGGAAAAAATGTGTTCTAACGTTTCAGGTTCTTTTTCTCAGAAAGTACACGAACCACCATAACGGCTGCCCAGTTTGTGTATAAATGAATTTGAAGTAATAATTCTGTGTGAAACATTATCAATAGCTTATATTGAAAGTTATGCGTTTTATTGTCAAACGTTAACACTTATCCAGATGCTTTGAATAAATCAAAAAGGAATTTTGATTTAATTCAAAGCATCTGGATAAGTGTTAACGTTCCCATAACCACTTTATGTCAGTGGAGACAAATTACTTCCTTGTCACAGTTACAATCAACAGATTTCCTCGTAACGAAAGAAACATGCGCATGCGCAGTAGACACCGCTAAGCAATCATCGGCGCATGTGTTTATCATACAAGGAGGCTATTCCGTAGAGGTGATTATCATTCAACGGTAAGTTTCCAACTTTCATCATTATCAAAACATGTCAGCAATGGTTTGCAGAATGCATATGCTTTATCAATCCATAATAATACCTTTCAAGTTATGATGTAGATAAAGTTAAAAGAAACCACTAGCTTTCATCGTTGGTAATATTATCAACAGGTTGCCACAAAACCTTCCAGATGCAGTGAAGGCAATTGTTAGCAAAGCGCAATAATTTCATGGCGGAGTACTTTGCAGATTTTCGGTACACAATGCCATACTAAATCACACCAAGACACATTCTCTCATACTTAAACTATTTCAAAATGGGAAATTTAGACAGGACACATTATTAAAATGACAAAGGCTTATTCAGTTTAGGAAATTATTCTATACTAGTGCTTCAAAGACAATATCAGGATGTATATACCTTCATGTAGTTCCACGTAAGTTCTAATCAGCAAATCTTTTTTAATATTAGACTGGATATGTACAAGAACGTTTATGGAAAAATAGTGACTGTCGCTGGTAATAGTATGCTAATTAAGGTCAAACATGAGTAGCCTTTCAAGATGGAAGAGTTGGTGCACACTTTGCATTTATTCCTTTCTGTCCATTGCGCTCACGTACCCTGTACTATTTTGTACATTTCGATTCAAAAGGATGTTCAGGGTGATACATAGAGGCACACGCTATGTACGCCTAGGTCGATGGGATAGCCTAGTGGTTAAAGTGTTTGCTTGTCACTACCCACGTGGGTACAATGTGTGGATCCTATATCCAGTGTCCAGTGACGTGATATTACTGAAATACAGCTACAGCGGCGTAAATACCATATGTTCACTCACCTATGTACCCATTAGAAACTATGAGCACATATATGATAAATGTGACTATAAGGACGTATTTTGAAAGTTAATATTGAAATCGGGGGGGGGGGGGGGGGGGCACGAGTGGCACAGTCGTCTAAGGCGCCGCGATTCACTGTTCAGAGTTGCGTCCCTTTGTCACGCCAGAAACCTATGATTGTGGGTTCGAATCCCGGTTCAACCCGATTATGTTTCCATATTTGTCAGCACCTACCCTAGCTCGTGTGTTTCACTGAAGTGGTAAACGTCCGAGACCTGCATCACTGTGGGCTTTCCTCCGACATTAAGCTGACACATCGTGTTATAGCTGGAATAATGTTAAAAGTGGTGTTAAACCCAACTCACTCACTCACTCAATAATATTGAAATCATTCTCCGTTTGACCTTATTTAGAAAATCAATCGTAAAGTTTTTCAGAATATCCATCATAGGTAAGAGACAACAGGTAAAGGTAATTTAGAATTGAGTACATAACCATCCTAGAATGATACTTGTCCCCAGCAAAGGTTTCCTTGTCTTAAGAAGCATTACATTGCATTGGGTGGTCAGTCCCTCTGTCATTATACCCTTTGGCTTGGACTTTACTGGTTTGACTGGCCCTATATTATGCCGTTAACTGCAGCATCAAAGAACAATCACCCACTCACTTCAGCAAATATCAATATATTACTGAAAATAATTCACATAATTTTTACAGCGATGGCTTCGAGGAAGAGAACTGGTCTGATGCTGGCACTGGTGTTTATCATTGGATATTACATTTACTGTAAGCATTTGTTGATGCTAGTGTAAATCACTAGATATTTCTACCATTGTAAATATTTGTTGGTGCTGACGTTAATCACTGGATTTTTAACGTACTGTATTTGTTGATATTTGTGTCAATCATTGGATTTTACACCTACTGTAAGTATTTGTTGGTACTGGTGTCGATCATTGGAAAGTACCCACTACAAGTTTGTACTGACACTGGTGTTTACCACAGAATATAAGACTTACTTGCAAACTCAGAAACCGTATTATTCATTATTTAGTAATGTACATGTTCTTAAATGAATGGGGGAGGTGGGGTTTCCTTGTGGTTAAAACGTTCGCTCGTCACGCCCAATGCCCAGGTTCGATTCCCCTACATGAGTACAATGTGTGAAGCCCATTTGTGGTGTCCATCACCGTGATATTGCTGGAATATTGCTAAAAGCAGCGTAAAACCATACTCACGCATTCACTCGAAATGAGAAGTACGTTTGTTGATTAAATGTAGAATTCATCAAATATGTGTTGTCTGCCACTAGGAAGATTTGTGTTGAAGCAGGTATATAATAGAATTACAACATTGTGTACATGCGTGTGGAAACATTTGTCAAATTCAGTTTCATACTTCATGAGAAACGGATTTCGTAGTCTGCAATATGCACGAATGACACTTTATTTAGATAATTGATAATATATGTTACAAATAATGCATAAATTATCCTTTGATAAGCTTTTTCTTCCGTGGATGAGGATTCCAGGTCGAGTCGGTGGAAACATTAGATGACTGTTTTTTTAATTGACAGACGCCAGTAATCGTATCCGTAAATACCCCGCTATCCATAATAGCCCCATGACTTATTTGAGCGTGTACAATCAACGGGTGACATTGTGTGAAGACGCTTACTAACCATTGAAGACATAAATATGGAACTGTTAAAATGGTCTCATCACATAATCATTGTTTTGTAGTTATTTTCAAATATTATAGTTATAAATATTATTAATTATTTCGAATATTGCACAGACGGCCAACTGTATTCTTTTTTGGATTAATTACATTCGCAAGTCATGTATCACAAAAAGACACACATTGCAAACTCATCTGACCATCAAGGAACAATTTCTTAATGCAAGTAAATATTTTGTAATTTTCAGGTGTATAATTTTCAATCAAGACAATCGTAACAATGTTCAGATTATTATTTGTCCAAAATGCATACAATAAGACGCACACACAAAAGAAAACTTTTGATGCGTTGAATAAACACGGCGTCAGGAGATTAAATTTACAATAAAAAAATTCCACAAATATGTCATCAACGGTGAGATGTTTAAAACAAAATGAACAGTGTTTTTCCTGTTTAATATCTTAATCACGTTTTTGACTACTATGCTACTACTTTTCAAACACACTGAATTTAATAAAAATGTCCTTCCACTGTAAATGAGGGTAGAAGCCTATTCAGGCAGAAACTAGATGAAGCCGCTAGTCATGAACCGTCACTGTCTCCATCTCATCATATCGGTAAATGTTCAAATTAATGTTATGCATTTCAGGGTTCAAATACAAATATAACTGAAGAAAAATAACTTGTAAACCAAACACATTACCAACTACAGTTTAAAAAGATACAAATGCATGTAATTTATATTCAATTATCCCACAACTTTCTCAGAAATAAATGTCTCCTCTCACTATTTATATACCCTTCAAAAGAAACGTAAAGCCAGATTTGTGTGAGGTAGGAAAATACATGTATACGTCTTTGTTTTGGTTTGATGGGTGGTGGTGGTGGCAGTGGAGGGTAGTCAAAGCAAGGATGAAAAGCGATCTTTCAGGAGAGAATGGTGGCCCTGAAAAGGGCCGTTTGGGGGAAAGAGGATGAAAAAACAGGAACGGGAACCGGAAAACGGGAACAGGAACGAGAAACGGAAACGTCATCCTAGGAAGGCGGCCATGCTACACCATTCGCGTTGCTCTGATTCGCAGGCTCCAGTAGATCTGATTCTCACACAGATAGTGCAAGAAAGTGGCTGCCACGTTCTTGTGTTTCACCACCCCCGTCAGCTTGAGGTAGGGGCAGTGAGGGGACCGCTTGAGGTTTTCCAGCCAAGGATCATCGTGGGTTGCCCATCATCTCACCCGCACGCCGCAATGAAAGCAGAACACTCTATGGGTGCTTTCCGTGTACACAAGCCCGCATGGGCCATGTCTTCAGCGGTCTGGGCCATCTGCATCAGCCACAGCTCAAACGAAGTGACCCTGCTTTCAAAAGATTGACGACATGGCGACATCGGGTTACTGGACGGTGACGGCGGTGGTGTCGGCAGCGACCTATCATCACAACCATTCATACTCCACAGATGAATCTTGGGTCCATAAGTATCCGTCAGCTCACTCACCATGGTTCCTTCACTCGTATTCGCACTGCTGCTCTTCCTCTCTGCCATTCTCACGATGTGATGTTGTTTTTTTTCAAAAGGGACTCCACTCGAGTGGCTTCACTCTATATATAGGAGAGGGACCGGATCAAACATCACTGCACGCTGATTGGTCCAACACGCAGCGTGCTGATTGGTCCATCACATGGTGCGCTGATTGGTCTGTTCCGCAGCCCGGCCTGAGCCCTGGTTTTCCAAACCGACCTGACCCTTGTGTTTCTTTTCCATAGGAAATGGATTTTACCATGGGAGAGAAAGCACAAACCCGGTTCGACCAATCAGAGGCCAGAACAGGGCGAGTGCGCCCTCTGATGGGTCAAAAACCCAAGCGTCTGATGGGTCATATTTCGATCCTGTTTTTTTCCTTGGGTGTGCATGTCGATTCCCTATCCTTAAGACAACACAACACTTATATTTTTCAACTTTTTTTTAATCCCTACTCACATGAACCAACAAAACAAAATCACAGGATGAGAGGGTGTCCTGTGATTTATTTGAACAAGAAACTTTTTTTTCTTTTTTTTTCCAACTAGGTTCTGAACGTATGTATAGTCATAAAACGCTGTGAACAAGGCTCTCCATCCCACTCTGAACAAGGACTTCTTGCAACCAGGGTGTGAACGTATGTACATTCCTAAAACGCAGTGAACAAGTGTCAGGTCAATAAGGGCAGAAAGGTTGGTTCTTTTGATGTCTTGGCACTCAGTCGAAACGCAGGCATCTCATCCACAGGAACGGAGGTAGACACTTTGGTATGAAACTATTCTAATCCTTCTTGATGGTGTCCTTCCAGTCCAACGTATCTAACACTTGATTAAAAGTCCATCCACGCACGCGATAGGTCAGCATGTAGAGACAGTACACCCCACACAACGTGCTGTATTCATGTTGTAAGGGGCGTGTATTCCATCGTTGTTCCATCTAACCCATGCGATTCAAAGTCTCTTTAAACAGGGGTAATGAATACAATCCATAGCTATCCATCATTTCCACGGATCCTGGAGCTGGACGGTAGATGCTCACCCAGTGTGTGCCAGGTTGATCGCTTGAATGTGTGTTGACCATGTAGGCTTTGGGGTAAAAGGGGTCATCCTGTTGCCATCCCTCTCTGGCAAAGTCATCTCTGGCCAGGGTGCCCCGGTAGATGGTATGAAGTGGTTCCTCCTCAGCTAGGATGGCTTCTCAATCGAAGGTGCTAAACCTGAGTGGTTCATCCATGGTAGGAGGTGGAAATAAGTGTGCCATGATCATCTGTCACTGCTCTTTTTTATACCATCATCGCATTCCGGAAACGATCTATTTCCAGAATATTTTCGTATTCTTCATAGCAGATGAGGGTGACTAGGTTCTCGAGAGCTTGTCCAAACTGGATTTCCAAACCCAACTTGCCAGTGTGTCGTGGATTGTTGATGCCTTCATCAGCGCCAAGGTCTGGGGTGAGATCCACCACCCACAAGGTGTAACCTTGAGCAAAGGCCTTGGGAGTCAGCTTGCAGGTCTCATAGGTGCCCCGTTTTTCGGAATAGATTCATGTAGACTTATTTCAAATGGGCGCTGTTGTTGCTGAAGTCGCTTTTCATTTCTGTGCAATGGACTTCCTGACTTCAGTTTCATCATGGTGACATGGTTGTGTCTGAAGTTGTACGGATTCTTCTCTTTGCTTCCTACATAGGCACTATTGTCCACCAGTCCCAGGACCACGCATTTTGGTTATTGACCACCGATGAGCTGATCCCTGTGAAAGTCTCTACTGCCTCTCAGAATGTCATGGATGGTCACTTGCACACGGGAAAGGGGATACTTGGCAGTCACCCCAGCATTCAGACTGGACAAGTGTGTTTTTCGGACAGCAGGATCGATGTTGAGTTGACGGACATAAAATTTGACTTTGGTCAGGGCTAGTTTGTAGATACCATTAGCAGCACACATGAAGAAGAACTCATCTCGACTTCGTAGCAATAACGGTCTTGAAGAAACAGGTCACAGTGTAGACGTCCTGTCAGTTCCACTTCTTTGGTGGGCACGATAAGATCACGTCGCGTTCTGACGCCCCTGTTTCTTGCATCCGCATTTGCATCAGGATTGAAGGCATCCATTTTACCAGCATCGTCGGCAAACCATCCAGGACATTGAAGGTGAGATGTTTTGGCTCCTGTACCATAACTCAGAAGGGTTTCCAAATAGGCTCTGTAAGGGTAGGTGCGCATGGATGGTGTGATCTCCAACTGATTGTGTCCCACGTGCAGCCGCACTATGCGAAATAGGGAATGCATTGTTGACTGTCGATACGCGGTTATCTGCCACTGTGGTATCTGTGCCATCTTCTTTCATCACACGTAGATATACTCTCAGGTAGCACTGTTTCAAATCAATGTAAGTATTTTGGGATTGGAAATGTTAAACTGGAGTGGTCCTGCCACAGAGGGTGGCGCTAAGGTACTATCACGAATCCACTTACCCTCTTGCACTGAGGTGGACACCGGGGGTACGGTAAAGAGATCCAACTGGGCCTTAGAACATTCGCAAGCATCTCGGCGCATCATGATGATAGATGGATGGATGATTGGATGG